TATTTTATAAATATTTTACAAATTCATATTATATAAATACAAACTGCCACATTTATACAGTAAATGCAAGCTTCTCTGAAGCATAGCATCGAAGAAAAAAAAAAAAAAACCCAAACAAACTCCACTGTCCAGAGTTGTTCTCCATTTCAAGCTAGACTGGCCAAATTGCAGGCAACTGAAATGTCTACCTCTTTTACATTGAGATTTGTAAGAGAGTATTATTACCTGTGGGAACTCATCTTCATCTGAACTGTGAAAGTCATACTGTTTAATGTCACTCTTGTTGATAACAGGCAAGGGCTCAGTAGAGGGCTGTTGTGGAGTTACTACGCACTCTATTTTAGGTTTCTTTAGATACTTCTTCTTTTGACGTACAACATCTGACACCTCCTCCTTTAGAGATGAATGATGAGGATGCTGTTTGTGAAAAACAAACAAAAAATTAGAAAAATTAAGGCATGAAAAGAGGCAATGTTAACTACTTTAAGATGTGACTGCTTATCTTCCAAACCCTCTCAACAAGCAGTACCTGCAGATTATTTCAGACACATAACGCAAAATTTACTCAAAACATTAAAAACCCAGAACTTTACCTCCAATCGTCTTTAGTTTTTATTAATAAACAACTTGAAAGCTTTCAAGCCATATAACTGCCTAAGAGGTTCTGTGCTTTGCAGTACACTCAGTACATTGTAATTGGAAATCCTATTCCAATTATTTTCCAAAATCTCAGTTTATTGTGGCAAGCACTTTCAATTTTCTGAACTACTCAGATACATTCAGAAGAAATGATTTAATTTGTTCCTGTTTCTCAGATAGTTTGTACATCTTTTGAGATTATGTTATTTGGTTTTGCTACTTAAGATTTCGCTAACACAAACCCTCTGTAGTAAGCAACTCCATCAATATGAAACCATTCACCTGGACTCAAATGCTATTAAACTTTAAAATTAAAAGGAAGATTACTTCCCATGCAAAATTCTCTATTACAAGTAAAAGCCAGTACAGTTTAACTTCATCCCATATTACCACCTATCAACAACTGTCCCAAGTGAAACCAACTCCAGTAACGGAGCTCAGCTTCATCACTGCTTATGAGAAACACAAGGTGTAACACTACTCATGCACGAGAACCAAGGCAAGGGATTTGTATTCAATTCCATGCCCACTAGGTGTCGTGGGTGCTAAATACAAACTTTTGAAGGTCTTCAACCCTCCAACCTCACATCCAAGCATTTGGTATTTCAGATTATTTCCTCAAAAACATGTTTTCATTCAAAATTGGGTACATTTTTTTTTCCTGTCACATTAACAGCGTAACACCAGGTCTTATCCTGTTTCTGTTCTGTATTCAGCTCAGTGAGCTTAACTGTGATAGTGACATTAAAATGGCTTGCAGTGCAAATGGGATTTTTGGTTTTGGTTTGTTTACGGGGATTGTTTAAAACACATGACCATCTAATATTTACGTTTCAAAGCAAAGATAGCTCCTAAGAAGGGCAAAAGAAACTTACAGCTGAAAGAACAGTTAAAGGAAATATGATATGAAGAAGTAGGAAAGAGATAAGTAGAACAACCATTTGCAGGATTGGAAGCAGCTAATTTTGCAATTACTGCCTGTATTAGCTGCAAGAAAACCACCCCAAACCTAATTATTTAGTAGTAATTTTAAAAACATTAACCACATCTGCCCACTCTCTTCCACCTTTCTGTTTGCTGCTTACCTAACACTAAAGGCCAAGCAGTGGCAGATACGAAAACGCCTACTCAGTATTACTGAGAAGCAGAAAGGGCCCAGTAATAACAAACTACTACAAATTCCAGGAACTGTTATTTAAAACATTAGTTGCTTGCAACTTTTTTCACCTGTCAACGATATGCAATGGTTGCATTCTTGGGCCTGGAAATATGTTACTAATCAAAAGATCACTAACAGTTCAGAACAGTTTCTAGAAGCCTTTGGCATGCCAGCTGTAATTCAGTAAATTCCCGTATTTTCATTACTATCTTTGCACTGAGGGCCAGCTAGCACTCACAGACAATGCTATCAAACAAATTCAGCTCTAGACTCCCTCTGAAGGGAGGAGAAAAAATAATTCACTACATTTTGCAATCTCATGGGGGGTCTTGATGTCTGACTAACTAAACACATTCATGTTTACATCATCCTACAACGAAGAGCCAGAACCAAGAAAGAAAAAGAAGACCGACTACTACAATGCTGCTGCTGTTTAAAGCAACAAAGAGCAGTGCCAGTCAATCCTTTTAAAACTTTGGTGGGAAAGACAGCAAATGTTAAACTGGAAGCAAGCACAGCAGTTTCCTGGTCTCCTACCTTCAAGTATGGCAGCCTCCTACTCAGTTTTCCAATGCAAACATCTGCTGGGTACATCCAAAAGAACGATGAAACAGATAACAGGAGACTCGCAGCAGCAGGAAGCTTACCTTAACTTTACATTCTTGAACTTTGTGGTGATTTCCATTATGAAGAGTGGATGGAGTTGTGCTCATCTCTTTTTCAGGTCTATTAAGCTTCACTTCATTGAGGATTTCACCTCCGTAATCGCCCAAATGGTACCTCAAAAAATATGATTAAAAATATACTGCATTTCCACTGGGAAATATTTGAAAGACAAACAGGCAAACAGTCTGCATAAAACCCTTCTGGTTTAACTTCTGAAGTTTATGGTGCCATGTAAGTCTTCAGGCATGCCTGTGTGCAGAAGACTAGCATCCATAATTACAGGAGGTGTTTTCAAACATATTTGATGAAAATTAGAATCTTGGTGTTATAAATGACTTCTTACAGATAAAATTTGCAATTTTACCTTTTCTCAACAACTTCTAACGTTAAATGCAATAGCTCGCGTTTCGTTTTTTCTCTTCTTTTAATCATCTCCAAAATTGTTATGGCTCTGCTAAACTCTCTTCTTAATTTCAACATCTTCTCATAAGATGCTTCATCGTTCTTTCGATTCTATTGAAAGATTAAACAAATATTAAGTCAAAAGCAAAGCCTGTGAGGCATAAATAGCAAAAAAAGTTACATTATGCTGCTGCAAGTGAGAGCATCGTATGAGTACACCCAGAAGCAGCTTTGCTTAAAGCATGTCCTAGTTGGTAAACAAATCCACAAAAAGCAAACAAAACCCAACTTTCAAGAGTTAGCTGAAGAAGAACTTTTCATCCATTTCCCCCATGCTCTGTCTGCTCAGATTCTGTATCAACCCAGTGGAAGCTCTGTCAGCCAAAGAATTCAAGACTTGGTTCCTAGCACACTTTCACATTGATTCTGCACACAGTCAGGTTGTTTACATATGTGTACAAAGTTGATGTAAAATACTGAATAACTACATACTTCCTAGTTCAAATCAATTCATGCTACAAATACAAGAATGGAACTGTTTACTCCATGGCAAATGGAAGATCGCTTTCCCCTTTTCCACAGAAAGGGAGGTTTGTAACCTAGCACGTCCCACAGCTGCTTGTGCCAATCCCTAAAAATCACCCTTTGAGTTTCAGCTGTCTAGAAAAAGGACAGACTGTAAATTGTCTCTAGAGAACTGATGGATAACACAGCGACTACACCATCCAGGTTTGAAGTTTAGCTGGGTCATCCAATATTGCAACTATCAATAATCAGATTGGTAACTGAGGATACCACAGGACAGATCCTGTAAGATGCTGGATAGAAATCAAAATGATTCCTATCACAGCAGGATTTGAAGTGACAAATTTAAAACAGTAAAGTTTGAAGAGTTACCTTTCTTGTCTGCATCTTCTCAGTTCTCCTCCGGAAGGCAACGTAAGGGTCATTGTTGGTGGAGCCATCCCTCTTCTCTTGTTTGATTTGGGGGATGAGAGATGGCCCTCTGCAATTCTTACGCTTTCTTACCCAGTAGTCATATACAGCCTTAATAAGGTAGTCATCCTCATTTAGCAGCAATTTAGCTTCCTGAAGTGTTACAAGCTAAAAAAGAAAATTCAAAAGGTGCAATTGAGATGGGCTGGGGATTGGTGCAGGGAGAAAGTCACTGCACACTCACATCTCTTACATACTTTCTAAATAAACTTAATCCTTTTCTAATACACGACAGTAAAGGGAGGAAAAAAAATATTCATGTAAATTGAAGAACTTAAGCCATCAGCTCATTTTCCTAAGTTAAACATACAGTTCCCAACTCTTCTGAACCAGCATCAGCATCATCTCTGAAACTTTCATACCATAGCCTAGAACTCCATCAATTTTTCATTAAATCAAACAATTACAAGCACAAGATATAAATAACTTACTACAGCCTGCTGATCATGATTTGGGAATAACTTTGACCATTTTTTTTCCCTAAAAAGAAGTTTCTTATTGATTAGCTGTTATAGATGCAGGACTCTTTGCAGTTTTATGTTGGTTCCCCCAGAAGACATTTTAGTGTAGACATAAAATATTTTGAAGTAAACTAGTTTCTTAATTTCCCCCTTTCCCCCCTCACATGTTTACCTGGTGGTAGAAAAGGTTTATCCCTGTTTATTACAGCCCAGAGACAAAGATATTCCCTTCTTAAGTAAGTCATTTCAGTGAGACGTAGATAAACACAGGGAATTATATAACTATTTTCCTTTTTGATTCTATACCGAAATCAAACTGATTTCTATGTACAAAACCCATCACTGACTAACTACTATATTAGTTTAACACACTCATATATCGTAAACCATTCATTAAGTAAAAAGAAAATAGTATGTTTAGTATGACTTAAAGTGCTGTCTGACTTCTGGTTTATCTTCCCATGATTTGAAACATATAAACTGAGTGACTGAAGTTTACAGTTTTGCAATATGTCAAGCTATGTTAAATCTTGTCCCTATGCTAGGATAAACAGAAAATAAACCAATACATTTCAGAAAAATTAGAATATCCTATGTGTAGCCAATGCTACTATGTAAGTGTTCATTCCAGCCAGACTAGGAGAACACACTTGTAATCTACAGCACAATTAGAAAAACATTGGTTTTATAAGAAAGAGGAAAAAAGGTCACTAATCCCTCTGTGCTTATGACCTCATGCAGCATTAAAACAATAATTTTGCACCCATTCTACCTAGAATGGACATTAGCCTGGTTAACCAAACACACATACTGACCAGCATACCCTAATCCATATGTACAAGTTGGTATGATTATGTTTAGCTAAAACACAACTTAAACATCAATCACTGTGAATATTACTTAAAAATAATTTCGGTCTTGCTTGCCATTTGTTCCTTTTTTCACATTGTTTAAAAAAGAAAAAGAAAAAAAAAAAAGAAAAAAACATCAACAAACCAACTCAAAATCGACTCTTCCTTAAGTACAAACCATAGAAAAGTTAAAGTGACCCTGCTTCCTTGTTTTTGCAAGTACCACCAGTAATATGGATGCAGTCACTATATTCTTTGCTTAAATCCAGTTATCAAAATGCCTGAGGAATGTCTGGAACCCTCCCCTTGGTGAGGAAAGCACTGCCACTAGCATACTACTATATTCTGAATGTAAGTCCTGTCAGCTGTAAGTGAATTGTGTAGTAGCCCCAAGTGGGATTCAAGAGCACTATAAACACCATGTGGGGAAGGAAGCTGCCAGGCAGCCAAGCTTCTTTCTCTCCCAGCCTCAATAACCTGCAGACGTTTTTTTTATCTTACCATTCCTAGCACAGAACTCAGGACAGAGCTACTTTATATCAGCTGAAAATGTTCTGCAGACCAAAAGAATAACAATCACCTTGAACACACATACTGCAATCCCTTAATTTAGGCTAAAAATACTACACAAGAGGTCCCACAGACATTTCATCTACCAAGAGGGATTTCTCCTTACATACCTTACCTTCAGGGGGAACCTATGTTATAAGAATCAATTACAACACTTCACGTTATTTTCTATCATGGACTTCCTTAAATGAGTACTTTCTAGTTCAAAATACTCTTCACTTCTGCAATGCTTCAGTGTAACTTACATTTAGGGGAAAGAGACAGAGGCAGCTGCCTCCAGAGAAAAATCCATATTCTTATTTTAAGAAAACATCTTTCAGTTCTTAAATTCGACTTCATTACCAAAGCAATGAAAGATGAAACCAGCATAAGAAGGATGCAAATTAATCTTGAAAAGTGATAACCAGAACCACTCTAACTGAAAGCCAAAACAGGGGTATCTACACCTAAGCTCTAAGAGATCTGCGTACCACATGTTTAGTAAGTATCATCATCCAAGGTACTCTGCAGTTTTTTTCTTCACATCCCATCTTATTAGCATAATAAGAAATCTTTACCTAACTGTTGTTTAAGTCACTCCAAGGCATTAAGAGTACAACATTTTGGCCTCTTAACACATAGCATTCAACTAAATGAAGCAGAGCTATGGATCCTGCAATGGATTTTTCACTCCCACAAAACATCCATCTCACTGAGAAATAACTCTGCCTATTTCAAACTTGCCTTTCAGAAACCAATCCTTCAGATGTTATTTTTGAGTAATGTTTTTGGCTTTAAGACCCTTCTCCAAACACTGACCTCCTGCAACACCTCAGGGACTGACTTAAAATACTGGTACCCTTTTGATAAAATAACTGACTAATATATAGCACATACTTGCTTCTAAAGCAAGCAAACCAGTCTCTGAGTCTCAACTGGAATACAGCTTACTTTCATCTATGCAGTTTCTACTGCAAGGGCCTGGTCTTAGTAAAAAGGTTGCTTCACTGTCTATGTTTCTACATTTCTAATCTTCAAACGTCAACTGAAGTCAATATCCGCTAGTACCAAGTGAAACAAAGAATTTGGATATGTTTAGAGCCAAATCTATATACCTACTGATCACAAGCTTCTTCCATACAAACACAGGTAAAACAAGATGCTGGAAGTTGTCCTCTCTAAAACACTGTGATCAGGAATTAAAATTTAAAAACAACTCTCCCCCAGTCATTCCCAAAAGCTCCCTCCCTGCCTGTTTTTAATAAGTTGCCTATATTGACAATAGGAGACAGCAATGCGATTTCTATAAAACTGCAGACTCGCACAAACACACTTACCCTATTAGCAGGAAATAAACTGGAAAAAAAAAAAACCAACAAACAAACAAAAGACCCTACCCAGAACCACCCCACCAGAAAATTCAGAAGTCAAAAAACCTCAGTGATTTCTTAATTCAGGACAATACCTGACTAGAACTGGCTTTTTCGAGTCTGTCAACCATTATTTCAAACTGCAGCGGCTTGATTTCCATCTTCCGATTTAGTCTGTTCAGTAAGGTTTCATCCTCCGAGTCCATATCATAATCTGGCTGCTCATTGTCCAGATTAAAAGCTGAAACAAAAATACACATGCACAAAACACACTGAAATGCTTGGTAAATAAAATACTGTGGAAATACAGAAGCCTGCATCTGATTATCAGAATTAAAAACAATTGATAATATTTCAGAAAGGCACATCAATGCCATGACACTTTTTTCTTTACAATAAAGTTTCCCCATGTAACAGCTGCAAGACAGTAGTTAGAAGTTGCTTGTCTCTGACTTTGAATGAGGGCAATCAAAGAGGTTTCATTTTATTTTAAGTGGCTTGAAGGGGTGACAGGGAAAAATTACTACAGAAGCATAGAAACTTGAATATATCTCTGCAAAACATGAGCAAAACTGCTTCTTAATAGTGTTATAATATAGCTCCTCCAGAATATCATAAGATTCTTAACAATTAAGATTAATTTCATTCAAATCTCAGACTTGAATGAAAAAGCACATACACAGCAGTGCCAATCTAACTTCAGTTGCCCGTTTTTAAATAGTTCAACAAGCCTGGAGTCTTAAAACACTTAATACAACTAAACTTTTTTCACTTTTTTTTCCCCTTCACATTACTGTGCAACAAACTATAAAAACGCTAGACCAGTCCCGCGGGAATTGTTACTTTCTCTCCAAAACCAACTTAACTCTAAATGTAGAGCCTGAATATTCCTCCATACTCTCCAAATAGAAGTTCCTGACTTCCAAGCAAAGCTAGTGCCTTCGTTATAGATTGTGCTACCCATTTTCCATACTCTACTTTCCGCAGACAACATTTATGATCCTACTAAAAGCAGAATGAAGTTATCATTCAGGTAACACAGCAGAAACTAAATTTACAAGTATGAGCAAATTGCATACAACAAGAATTAGTAACAGGACAAAGGGTAATGGCTTTAAACTGACAGAGGTAAGATTTAGATTAGATATTAGGAAGTTCTTTACTCTGAGGGTGGTGAGGCGCTGGCACAGGTTGCCCAGAGAAGCTGCGGCTGCCCCATCCCTGGCAGTGTTCAAAGCCATGTTGAATGGGGCTTTGAGCAACCTGGTCTAGTAGAAGGTGTCCCTGCCCAGGGTTGTGGGGCAGAAACTAGATGGTCTTTAAGGTCCCTTTCAACCCAAACCATTCTGTGATTCCACGATTCCATGGAATGCTAATTGTACCTAATAAAACCTCGAATGGGTGAAACGCCAGCTACAGTACTCCAAATAATCAACAAGTTAGTGTATTAACAGCAGTGAACGCTTGTTGAAATATATTCTATTCTTTCTAGACAAATAGCATTACCTCATCTTTATTCTCTTAACTCATAGCTATATCCCAGCAGTAACTTAAAGAAAACCTCTGCTACTATGCTTTCCAGGGTGTTTTGAGAGGAGAGTAAAATAAAAACTTGGAAGACCAGGAAAAACCAGGAGCATAAGAAAACATCTAAAAGGTATCTTCAAAGAAAATTACAGTATTTTCTCCCCCATGGTCCGATCAGTTAACAGACAGGCAGTGAGCAGCCTATTCTTGCTGTATTTCAGACTAACCCAAGACCACTCATTCTGTATTCCAATGCAATAAATTAGCTAAGCCACTGCCAGTTTTAGTCTATTTGGGCTGTATGTGGTTACTTGGTCAAATACAGCTGAGAAGCGCTACTAAGGAGTTCCTTACCATTCTCAGCTGTGAACTGCTACCTCTCAGAGGAGATGCTCCTTGACTGTACTAACACCAATAACAGTAACACCACCACCTGGCGAGAAACCTTCTCTGGCCTAACACAGATAGAGTAAATACACTATAAAAAAATATTTCAAGAAGAAATTACTAATAATGGGCTGAAAATATGTATTAAGTGGAATTATTAATAATATTAATTCAATAATACCAGTTGCATGGCCATTCAAGACACCGTCATTGGGCACATGACCCACAGCTCTCCCTTTAGCAACTGTATATCGAACTTTTAAAAAATTCTTAGTTCTGCAAAGCTATATTAAAAACATCACCAGGCAGGACTACACACGTGAGAGGAAAGACTGTTGCAGCACCTGGGGTGGCTGCTACACAATCCTGTTCAAAATGCAGAATAGACAGTGACCAGCCAAAACCAATTGGTATGTATCAGTGCTGGACTCAATGAAACCAGTCTGCTACATACGGTCTTCACCTACTGTAAACTTTGCTCCAACTTGTCCTGCATGGTCCCAGCCAAGCCACCTGGGAGCACAGAGTGTTGGCACCAACATGTCATTCCATCAGTCATATATGGAAATGGAGCAAACTCCCCCACCTGAGCTGTAACCCTCACAGTCCTTAACTTCCTTAAAGAAAATTGCAAAAGCTTCCCCCACCCCAAGAGAAGCCCCAGAGCAAACAAGACTACTACAGTCCTAACGAACACTGTGAAATCACATTCAAACAACTCTGCTCAAGGTAGGTGGTCAAAATTTTTTAAATCAGATGTTCCCATTACTTTGGGAGAGCTCTCGTTAACAACAAAGCAGGTCTCCCTACTCCAACAACAAGGTGTTTAACCATGTTCTCACAGATGACATGAGAATGCACAGAAATCCATTAAAGTCCAGCACTGTTTTTTTACCCTCAGACAGGTATTGCTATTACACCACAAAAATGTCAACCTGTCAGTAGATAATTCAGTAATCCCCTGCGAACAAAATGCTTCCAGTCAATTTTTCTAAATCAGTTATCAGTGAGCAGGAGGATCCCTATGACAGGTGATGTGACGCTGTTCACCTCTAAGTTGTAAGCAGTGCCAGCATCCTTGCCTTCATTTCCACAATGAGGAAAGAAGAGTCACTGAAAGTTCTTCAGCCATGCAGCTTCCTGAACCGCCTTTTGGAACAAAATTAGACAGGCTCAAGTGAGATGCAACTAGCAGAAGACACGAAGCAAGAACAGAAAATTCCAACCATTCCATCAACAAGCAACTGAAAAGACCAACCATCCTCAGAAACCCATTATGAATATTACCAACAAGAAAGCAAGATCTCCACCGCAAATGGTGAAGGCAGATTACTGCACTGATGGTAGGTATTTCCAGCACCCCTATGGTGCAGGTCAGTTGGAATTTTAAGTGTCCCTCCCTCTCACATCTCACTGCTGGCCAGTTGAACCATTTTGCGGAGTACCCAGTCAGCATTAGAGGCAGTTCATCTGCCCCTATGAACCACTGACTAAATAACACGTCACATCCACCTAACTTCATGCACAGTTTATTATTTGCAAATTTGAATTCTTGGATGATAAAACACCAGCTTTCTTAGGAGTCATTTTGAGACTTCAGGAGTAACAAACGAAATGCAGAAAAACTGGGAAATGCACAAAACTGTAATCATTAAAAAAACAAAAACCAAAAAACCCAAAACAAACAAAAAAAAAACCCTACAAAAACCAAAACAAACACAAAACCAGAAACTACATCCTGAATTTCAACTCTGCAAAAGTATTTTTTGCAGAGCAGGTTGTCCAGGGAAGTGGTGGAATCACCATCCCCTGAGGGATTTAAAAGACATGCAGATGTGGCCCTTAAGGACAATGTTTACTGGTGGGAGTTGGCAGAGCTGGATTAACAGTCGGAATTGATCTTAAAGGTCTTTTCCAACCTAAATGATTCTTTGATTCTATTTTGACAAATAATCAAAATTACAAGATTAAAGGTATCCAACATGTACTTGCCAGGACCAAGTTATAATGAATAAATCCAGACTTACTTTCTTAAACAAGATGACACTGGCACTGAGAGAACAGCAGTACACTCTGTCACATATCCTGCTTTCATACCTTCCAGCAATGCTTTTCTTTTGCTGGCAGTGGTTCTCATGCTATTTGTCATGACCTGTAGTTAGCAATACAGTTCCATTTTCAAAGAACAGAAGTTTACATGCAGGCCACAGGCTAATGCCACTGAAGCAAAGGAAGCAATATTTGCATTCCACCTCCTGCTTTGGTGCAGGCAGGAGGGCCATAAAGCCTCAGCAGCCTGTGGAGATGTATGACCCTCAGGAAATAAAAGGCTATCCCTCTTCCTTTAAATGCTGCATGCAATCATAAGGAGTTAATCGACCCCAAGCTGGCTCACCACAGTTCTGAGACAGGCATGAAGCATCCTCCTTCTCTGAAGTTTGTCCATCACTGCTCTTTGAAACGGACTTTCAGTGACAACCCAACCTGTTTTATTCTTTTCCCAAGCACTGAGTGAACTGTACCAGTTCAGAAAAAAAAGTAATTTTTCATCCTGGAGTTGGCCACTATTATGGCAGCTTGCTGGCTTCAAAAGCCATCAGAAGACACAGGTGGCTTATGTGCTGTGTGATGTTGCCATCCATCACCAACCCCTGTTTCTGCTTCTGCCATAGCAACAGATGCAACTGCTCATTCATGCCTGCAAGAACTAGTGATGAAAAAACTCAGACCCAGAAAGCACTGTGTTTCAGATGACCTGCTACTAGTTTGTGTATTAAGGGTAACAAATCTGGGATCTTCTACATCCCCTTCTTCTGGTAATTCCTGACAGGAATTCTGATAATTCGTCTGATTGACCAATGAATCTAGTTTTCTTACTCCAAAGCTGTTGCTTTTCTCTACATTGCATGTTTCCACAGAGCTGGACAGAGCCCCAGTGATCCCACCAGTGAAGTTCACCTCACATGAACAGTCAGAACTTGCTTTGAAACAGCAATTAGCAAGCCAACCAACATCCTAGTTTATTTACATCCTCTGCCACTCTAACCACTCCTGACAGCAGTTCCTGTCAGAGGTATTTGCTTTTGTTTACTTGAGCTCCACTAGGAACTGAGTTTATACTAATTTACAAAAATGCGATTTGCTTTTTAAGTCATAAATTGTGTTTAACTTAACCAAACCAACTAATTTTATTTAGCTAGCTAGACTAGGGCTGTGGTTTCACAGTCATTTTAAGCTGACAGGTGTGAGTTACCACTGAAACAAGCAGTTCCACTAGCTTCCCTCCCCAGCAAGCCAGGTTCCTACCACCTTGCTTGTGCCAAAACC